TAATTTGTTTTTTTTCTTCAAGAAATCGCTTTCATTCACGTCCCACGTTTTATTTTAATCTAATTAGGGCGGTAACGTTTGGCTTCCGCAAATAGCGCAAAGTCAAATCTTGTTGCTCCACCTGACATCAACGCTTATGGTCTGGTGCCAACCCCCTCGATTTGTAGACAATATCCACATTGGACCCCCCCCCCGCCTATTCTTTACACGCCCCCACAATGCGCACGTGCCATCTCTTTGAAACGTGCAAATTGAAAAAAAATCGGGCGCCGGTCGGTGGCGGTGCGTCTCGTAGCCCAGCGCGCGTGCGCTGACCTCTCCGGCGAGCCTCCGACACTTTTCACACGTGGCCGCAAAAGGTGGCGAACGGCGGCGGTTGTCGTTCTGGGACGTACTTTTTCCAGAATCGACCCGAGCTATAAACGCTCCGATGCGTGCAAAGGGGTTGCGCTGTTCGCCTTTTGGCGTCGTTCTCTGGTCTGACACTGGTGGTGAGACTGACCGTGAAGAAGGCCGCTGCTGTCGCTGGAGTAGGCCAATCAGTTTACAGTACAATGCGTAATAACATGATACAGGTAGTCCCCGACTTACGATGGAGATGCGTTACGACGACTCCATCGTAAGTCGAAAATATCGTAAGTCGAAAATGGCCTCGCCTACCCAAGAGTTTTACAGAATGGTGATAATTTAGCAAAACAGAGCAATTTATAGTACCGTACTGTATAAACTATATTCGTACAGTACATCCCGGCAGCGTCCCAATGTACAGTATCGTACCTCGTTCACTGGACTCCCATGGTAAACTGGACTCCCATGGTAAATTGAAATCCCATGGTAATCTGGACTTCCGTGGTCAGGGGTCGGCAAGCAAAAGCAACAAGAAGAGCCATTTTATTTTGTTGGTATCGAATTCCAGGAGCTGCGCTGCGGTCCTCCAAGAGCCGCCGCCTGCAGTTGGCCCGGAGCCGCAGCAGGTTGCAGGGCCCTCCCAGGTGGTCACGAGCCCTCCCAGGTGGTCACGAGCCCTCCCAGGTGGTCACGAGCCCTCCCAGGTGGTCACGAGCCCTCCCAGGTCACGAGCCCTCCCAGGTGGTCACGAGCCCTCCCAGGTCACGAGCCCTCCCAGGTCACGAGCCCTCCCAGGTGGTCACGAGCCCTCCCAGGTGGTCACGAGCCCTCCCAGGTGGTCACGAGCCCTCCCAGGTCACGAGCCCTCCCAGGTGGTCACGAGCCCTCCCAGGTCACGAGCCCTCCCAGGTGGTCACGAGCCCTCCCAGGTGGTCACGAGCCCTCCCAGGTGGTCACGAGCCCTCCCAGGTGGTCACGAGCCCTCCCAGGTCACGAGCCCTCCCAGGTGGTCACGAGCCCTCCCAGGTCACGAGCCCTCCCAGGTCACGAGCCCTCCCAGGTGGTCACGAGCCCTCCCAGGTGGTCACGAGCCCTCCCAGGTGGTCACGAGCCCTCCCAGGTCACGAGCCCTCCCAGGTCACGAGCCCTCCCAGGTGGTCACGAGCCCTCCCAGGTGGTCACGAGCCCTCCCAGGTGGTCACGAGCCCTCCCAGGTGGTCACGAGCCCTCCCAGGTCACGAGCCCTCCCAGGTGGTCACGAGCCCTCCCATGTCACGAGCCCTCCCAGGTGGTCACGAGCCCTCCCAGGTGGTCACGAGCCCTCCCAGGTCACGAGCCCTCCCAGGTGGTCACGAGCCCTCCCAGGTCACGAGCCCTCCCAGGTCACGAGCCCTCCCAGGTCACGAGCCCTCCCAGGTGGTCACGAGCCCTCCCAGGTGGTCACGAGCCCTCCCAGGTGGTCACGAGCCCTCCCAGGTGGTCACGAGCCCTCTCAGGTGGTCACGAGCCCTCCCAGGTGGTCACGAGCCCTCCCAGGTGGTCACGAGCCCTCCCAGGTCACGAGCCCTCCCAGGTGGTCACGAGCCCTCCCAGGTGGTCACGAGCCCTCCCAGGTGGTCACGAGCCCTCCCAGGTGGTCACGAGCCCTCCCAGGTCACGAGCCCTCCCATGTGGTCACGAGCCCTCCCAGGTCACGAGCCCTGACGATTGCTTTGCCGATCGATGATTCGACGCGGACGCTCGGAACGTCGGGGAGCCCCAGGAGCCGCATCACCCATGCATGCAATCCCAGGGCTTTGGCTTTCAATTTGGAGGGGGCTTTGAGGGTTGCTGAGTGGCTGAGACGGGGGGGGGGTGGGTTTGGGAGGTCTCCCGTGGTGTCAATGTCGGAGCACTGAGCCATCACGGCTGAAATCCCGCATTTAAATCCCCGTGCTCCCACCCGGGATTAAACTGGGCTCTCGGCTGTGCTGAGTGCTGATGGCCTCGGCACGGTCGACGATGACTGCAAACACACAAAACAGCAGCAGCAGCAACAACAACAACAACCCCATTGCATAGATTAGCGCTCTCGACTTAAGCTCAGTTGAACACGGCCCCGCTGCGTTACGCTGCTGCTGCTGGTGCTGCTGGTGCTGCTGCTGCTGCTGGTGCTGCTGGTGCTGCTGCTGGTGTAGTTGTACTGTACGGTTCGATGTTGGACGGTACTGGTCTCGACTCGTAAGACTCTCGGATAGAGAGAGCGGCGATGTTTCGTTTTTGGCATTCCGATGGTTTACCCGGCAAGAGACTCGCTCTGTGAGTTCCGTGGCTTTCCTTCGGGAGGGCACTGCTAAGTGTTCGCTGGACGTTGTTTTGTGTGTGTGTGGTTTGTCATCGCCCCCCATCTCCGATTAGCGCGGTTAGCTACGTACGGTGCGAAAGAAGTTCAACATACGTACGATGAGTAATTTGCGGAGAGGTTTTTTTTTTGGGGGGGGTGGAGGAGAGGTTGGTGGGGGGAGTTTCAAACTTTGGTACAACAACAAAAACATTGGGGCCGTGACACCGGGCATGCAATGGCCCCTACGGCTCTTGCCGGTGACTGCACGGGGATCTTTAACGTCCGCCGTGGACGCCCCAGAGTCACGCCCCCCCCCCCCCCCGCACCGCAGGTCGCCTCGAGATTCCCTCCTCCTGGACCCTCGCCCCGGGGTTCCCGTGAACGAAATGGAACCAGCAACTGGCCCGTCGACGATCCGCATGGCACTTTGGCCCTGCCATCGAGGAGGGTTTCATAGTTTACAAGCCAAAGAAATACAACTTATTAATAAAATATCTTGTAATTGTTCGCAATTACAATAGAGATGTTTTTCATGTTGTATTTCTGCAATTGCAACAGTGGTGTGCAACTGTGGCTCATCCAGAACAGACCACATGCAACGTCTCACGTCGCAATGCCCCGAACCAAACAAACGAAGGAGAAGTCACAGCGATGATGAAGACGATGACGATACCCTCTGTTGCTCCTGGCGCGGCTATCTCGCCTTTACCGCCAGACGGTGAAATTGTAAGTTGGTGGTCCCGCAAGCTCCGTCAACAGCCGCACGCTCACAAGAAGTTCCCGCACCGAGTCCTCTCGCATGCCCTCTCGTGGCCGCCGTGCCTCATTGGTCCGTTGACGAGCTCGACTCGCTAGAGGCGATGCTTGAGATGCTTTTGCATTTTCAACTTCAGCGCCAGCTGTAACCAATCCACTGCTGGATGAAGTCCTCCCTCCCCATGCAGTCGCTCAGGGTCTCGCGATCCCAGCCACCACCTGGCGTGTGGAGACGGTGGCTACCCTGTGTGCAGGTGCCAGCCGGGTTGTTAACTTCGCAAGGGAGCGCGAGGCGGCAGTTGGCTCGAGGAGGCGTTCATCCAGCAGTGGAGTGGCAGTGGCTGATGACGGCGGTGGAGGCAGGAGGCAAAGCCGACCACGCGCGTGGCCGCACCTCCGACTAGCACGGTTGGCTACGTGCGGTGCGAAAGAAGTTCAACACACACGGGCGCGTGCTGGAGTACAGAGTCCACTGGCCCATCTCCCTCTCTCTTGGCTACTGGGCATGCCGAGAGAGTGGTGGGTGGGTGCGTGGGTGGGGGGGTTGTGACCAGTGACGTGCGGTGAGGTCAATGGCTGGGGAGGCAATGGCTAGTGTCAGAGCCAGATTCACACACTGAGGGGTGTGTGTTAGACACGTCCCCCTCAGTGAGGCAGATGTCATAGCTGCCTCCCCTGCTGCTTTTTCATTGCAGTTTCACGACGAGACCAGCGAGCCTAAATATCTTTATACACATACAGTACGTGAAATAAGTTACCTGTAGTATGGAAGGCGAGGACATGAAATGAAGGGGTCTACAAACATTACATTGGTGACATACTGAGATAGTAACAGGCACGCGCTTATTGCCCGCGCTCCATCCAGTTACTGAGGGGTTGCGCAATCAGAGGGGAGGCTGAGCTCGTCGCTGCCTCACCTCTCGTCTCTCCCTGTATTTGCAGCAGAGCTCCGCAAATTTGGCGATTTTCACTATAAAAATTATCGGAATCGTACAGAAATGACATTTATAACACAGATCAGTGGGAAAATCTTAATATTTATTTTACTTGATTTTTTTTTACTTTTCGTAATAGCTATTTTCATTGGAGTATAACAGGTGAGGCTCTGCCTCCCCTGCCTCCCCTGCCTCCCCTGACCGCCCGTCCCTGGCTGTGACCCTTTTGGACAACAGGACCCGCGAACGGAACGACGGACGAGCGGCCGCGTGACCGACGTCCTCATCGGCGCGCAAGCGGCACCCCCCCCCCCCCCAACTGCGAGACGTGGACCCGACATTCGGTGGCGGCACGAAAACTTTGCCCAAACCTGAAACGTGCTTCGAATGACACCGACGAGAGGAGCGCGCGCGTGGGTCGTTCAACCCCTAGGTTTGCTCGGCCTTGAAATGTTCTCTTTGATGCGGTGTGCGCGAAGCTTTGGCAGTGGGGAGACGGAGCCGTGTCCCGGGCCGCGCGGTGTCGTCGCGATGACGTCGCTGTTGTGTCATGCCGCCGTCACCCGGCGCTCGGTGTGCGAGGCTAAAACGTGGGATGTGTGCGCGTGTGTTTGTCCCTGTGCGTGTGTGTGCGTTAGACTTTATAGAGAGCACTGCTGGAATGGCCCAGTATCCATCGCCAGTCATCAGCGCACAAAGTAAGGTCTACAGACCAGGGGGACGTAGATTCACCCACGGGCTTGTCATCCGACAGCTGCAAACTTTCGCACACAATGTCACCGTTTCGCTTCCACTGCCTCTGACTTTCTGGGCTTGCAAACCACTCTCTTGGCTGCTCTCCTCCCGCATGTCCACCTCTGTGTGTCCACCTCTGTGTGTCCACCGCTGTGTGTCCACCTCTGTGTGTCGTCTGCCTCTGCGTGTCTAACTCTGCGTGTTTAACTCTGTCTAACTATGTGTGTATAACTCTGTGTCTAACTCTGTGTATCTACCTCTGCGTGTCTAACTATGTGTGTCTAACTCTGCGTGTCTAACTCTGCGTTCTAACTCTGTGTGTCTAACTCTGTGTGTCTACCTCTGTGTGTCTACCTATGTGTGTCTAACTCTGTGTGTCTAACTCTGCGTGTCTAACTCTGTGTGTCCCACTCTGCGTGTCTAACTTTGCGTTCTAACTCTGTGTGTCTAACTCTGTGTCTCTACCTCTGCGTTCTAACTCTGCGTGTCTAACTCTGTGTGTCTAACTCTTTGTGTCTACCTCTGCGTGTCTAACTCTGCGTATCTAACTCTGTGTGTCTAACTCTGTGTGTCTACCTCTGTGTGTCTACCTATGTGTGTCTAACTCTGTGTGTCTAACTCTGCGTGTCTAACTCTGTGTGTCCCACTCTGCGTGTCTAACTCTGCGTTCTAACTCTGTGTGTCTAACTCTGTGTGTCTACCTCTGCGTTCTAACTCTGCGTGTCTAACTCTGTGTGTCTAACTCTTTGTGTCTACCTCTTCGTGTCTAACTCTGCGTGTCTAACTCTGTGTGTCTACCTCTGTGTGTCTACCTATGTGTGTCTAACTCTGTGTGTCTAACTCTGTGTGTCTCACTCTGTGTGTCTAACTCTGTGTGTCTAACTCTGCGTGTTTAACTCTGTGTGTCTAACTCTGTGTGTCTACCTCTGTGTCTACCTATGTGTGTCTAACTCTGTGTGTCTAACTCTGCGTGTCTAACTCTGTGTGTCTAACTCTGCATGTCTAACTCTGCGTGTCTCACTCTGTGTGTCTAACTCTGTGTGTCTAACTCTGTGTGCCTAACTCTGTGTGTCTAACTTTGCGTGTCTCACTCTGCGTGTCTAACTCTGTGTATCTACCTCTGTGTGTCTAACTCTGTGTGTCTAACTCTGTGTGTCTCACTCTGTGTGTCTACCTCTGTGTGTCTACCTCTTCGTGTCTAACTCTGTGTATTTAACTCTGCGTGTCTAACTCTGTGTGTCTAACTCTGTGTGTCTAACTCTGCGTGTCTAACTCTGCGTGTCTAACTCTGTGTGTCTAACTCTGGGTGTCTAACTCTGTGTGTCTCACTCTGCGTGTCTAACTCTGTGTGTCTCACTCTGTGTGTCTCACTCTGTGTGTCTACCTCTGCGTTCTAACTCTGCGTGTCTAACTCTGTGTCTCTAACTCTTTGTGTCTACCTCTTCGTGTCTAACTCTGCGTGTCTAACTCTGTGTGTCTACCTCTGTGTGTCTACCTATGTGTGTCTAACTCTGTGTGTCTAACTCTGTGTGTCTCACTCTGTGTGTCTAACTCTGTGTGTCTAACTCTGTGTGTCTCACTCTGTGTGTCTCACTCTGTGTGTCTACCTCTGCGTTCTAACTCTGCGTGTCTAACTCTGTGTCTCTAACTCTTTGTGTCTACCTCTTCGTGTCTAACTCTGCGTGTCTAACTCTGTGTGTCTACCTCTGTGTGTCTACCTATGTGTGTCTAACTCTGTGTGTCTAACTCTGTGTGTCTCACTCTGTGTGTCTAACTCTGTGTGTCTAACTCTGCGTGTCTAACTCTGTGTGTCTAACTCTGTGTGTCTACCTCTGTGTCTACCTATGTGTGGCTAACTCTGTGTGTCTAACTCTGCGTGTCTAACTCTGTGTGTCTAACTCTGCATGTCTAACTCTCTGCGTGTCTCACTCTGTGTGTCTAACTCTGTGTGTCTAACTCTGTGTGCCTAACTCTGTGTGTCTAACTTTGCGTGTCTCACTCTGCGTGTCTAACTCTGTGTATCTACCTCTGTGTGTCTAACTCTGTGTGTCTAACTCTGTGTGTCTCACTCTGTGTGTCTAACTCTGCGTGTCTAACTCTGTGTGTCCCACTCTGTGTGTCTAACTCTGCGTGTCTAACTCTGCGTTCTAACTCTGTGTGTCTAACTCTGTGTGTCTACCTCTTCGTGTCTAACTCTGTGTGTCTCACTCTGTGTGTCTACCTCTGTGTGTCTACCTCTTCGTGTCTAACTCTGTGTATTTAACTCTGCGTGTCTAACTCTGTGTGTCTAACTCTGTGTGTCTAACTCTGCGTGTCTAACTCTGCGTGTCTAACTCTGTGTGTCTAACTCTGGGTGTCTAACTCTGTGTGTCTCACTCTGCGTGTCTAACTCTGTGTGTCTCACTCTGTGTGTCTAACTCTGTGTGTCTAACTCTGTGTGTCTCACTCTGTGTGTCTAACTCTGCGTGTCTAACTCTGTGTGTCTCACTCTGTGTGTCTAACTATGTTGTATGACTTGCAGGCAGACATGTTCACCGTGCACCGTGTTCTCCCCATCGTCAGATGCTTTCCCCCCAACCCCAACCCCCTCTGTGTTTCAAAGCGAAGCGTGAGGAGTGAGGGGTGTGGAGTGAGGGTGAGACGTGACCCCCACACCAGAGGAGAGAGAACGCACGCCACCAGATACTAAGAACCACCTCCCAGCAGATAGCCCCCTCTCCTCTCTCTATTTATATTTCTTACTAAGCGGCGAGTGTCAACAACTCATCTCCTGGGCCCGCAGTGTCCTTCGTTGTGAGGCCCCAGCGGGCCGCTGGGGCCTCCTGGTGCCCCCCTCCCACCCCTGGCAGGCCACGCCGTATCTCGGAATCAGCACATTTATTGACACTGCAGGAGAAACACGAATAGCTGCAAAGCTCTCTTTCTCACAGATGTCCAGTAGGTCACGTGGGGTCAGCAAGGCTCAGGGTCGCCCTCTTGAGGTCATCGAAACCTTTCGTCGATCGTCCTCCACCCCCCCCCCCCGCTGTCCCCTTCGCCTGCAGCTCCCTGACCAGCCCAGCGATCCGTGCTGTCGGCTCCCTCTCCCTGTCCAAGTCCCGTCTCAGCATCGTCTTCCTCTCCTCCTCTTCCGCCTACGGCTTGCTGGCGTCTCTGTCTCTCTGTCTCTCCATGACACCACGACGCCCGCTGTCTCCGTGTGCAATGTTGCTGATGTGTGATGTCATGTTGACGCTCTACAAGTCCACTTTGCATGCTCGCGTCTTCTACCCCAGTGAGGGTTGTGACATTCCGTAAGGGCCCTGTACGCCTTGCTCTGCGATATTGACATTGGTGTTGTTGTTGTTGTTGTTGCTGTTGTTGTTGTTGCTGTTGTTGTTGTTGCTCATGCAGCGCCACGGATCTGCCGTGTAAAATAGCCGGGCAAAAACTGGCTTCACGGAACCATCATCCGTGTAAAAAATCTAAATGAACTTAATCTTGAATCCCACACTCGTTAACGTCAGCTCAATGAACGTGGGATAGAGCTCATCCCTGTTTGTGATCTTCTTAAGGCAGTGGTGGAAATTCCACGTTCATATGCCGCGGAGGAGGATATTCAGAGGACGCTTATTGTTAAACCTCCTACAGAGTTTAACTTTTTTCTCCCAATATTGGAGGGATGATAGGCCGAGTGCGACGCTAATGGGGATTCAAACTCACGCCCTTCTTGACTTTGAGTCGAGTCCTGTCAAGCTGCTGCACTCACCGTGGCAGATTTGGTGAATTTTCGCTAATGAGCAGCGAGAAACGCGCATGCCTTCCTGTCCCACATGAGCTAGTGAGTGAGTGTGATGGAGAGTGAGTGAGAGTGAGTGTGTGTGATAGATAATGAGTGAATGTGATAGTGAGTGAGTGTGTGTGATAGAGAGTGAGTGTGAAAACGAGCGTGAGAACGAGCTAAACTATTACATGTGAGTGTGAGCACGTGTGTACTCGCGAGCGAGTAAGCGAGGGTGCAGGTGCATCTCCTGCGCGTGCGTGGGTACGTGCGTGGGTACGTGCGTGGGTACGTGCGTGGGTACGTGCGTGGGCACGTGCGTGGGCACGTGCGTGGGCACGTGCGTGGGCACGTGCGTGGGTACGTGCGTGGGCACGTGCGCGAGCCGCGGTCCACCGTCGCCGCCCTGACGCCCGGCCTCCCTCCCTCTGTCCGCAGCGTGCAAGCGGAAGGAGCAGGAGCAGGGACGCGACAAGGGCAGCCAACCAAAGAAGCAGCGCCTGGTGTTCACGGACGTGCAGCGCCGGACTCTGTTCGCCATCTTCAAGGAGAATAAGCGTCCGTCCAAGGAGATGCAGATCACCATCGCGCAGCAGCTGGGCCTGGAGCTCAGCACGGTGAGCAACTTCTTCATGAACGCACGCCGCCGCAGCCTCGACAAGTGGTCGGACGAGGGGGGTCCCGGCGCCAATTCGGGAGCCTCCTCGGGCGCCGGCTCGGTCCACGGCACCTGCACCAAAGCCTGAGTTGGGGGAGATGGGGGGGGAGGCGGAGGGAGAAGACAGAGCAACGCCGCCGGGTCTCCGTTGGCGGCGCTGTGGCACGGAGGCCGGTGCCGGAGGAGTTTTACACAACGGCGGTCGTCGCTGGTTTGGAGCCAGGGAGGGGGAGCGGGTTGCCGGGGTCGGCCTGGGTGAGCGGTGGAGGTGCCGCCGCCGCCGCCGCCGCTGCTGCTGCTGCTGATGGTGGTGCTGGTGGTGGTGCTGGTGGGAAAACAGAGGAGGCCGCGTGGAGTTGTGAGCGGGAGACGCGCACGAGGGCGCGGGCGGAGGAGGAGGAGGTGTGCGAGGGGCGACTCGTCAGTGGCGGCGTGGAAGAGCTCGCAGGGCCCCCCCGCCCCCCACGCCTCTCTCTCTCTCTGCCGAGCGGTCTCTGGGCCTTAACCCTCGGCCCGCCGCACACGACGAAGATTGCGAGCCAAAGTCTGACGGCCTCCTCTTTCTTCCCGCGCCCCCCCCCCCCCCCCCCCCTCTGCAACTGTTTGGATCGTCTGGCACAAAGCAGTTTCCTCTGCTACTACTTCACTCTACAGCTTTATTGTTATTGTTTATTTTTCGAGCTCCAAATATCTACGTGCGAAACCAAAGACTCACCCCCCCACCCCAACCCCAACCCCACACCCCCACCACACTCTGTTGTTGTTGTTGTTTTTATATATACACACGAAGAAGGAGAAAGAGGAAGAAGACGACGACGACGAAGAAACAAACAGACAAAGGCTTGGTGATGCAAACGGCCTCGCGCGCAGATCCCCTCTAGGAACTGGAGGGACGTGGGAAGCGCGCGGCGAGCAAACGGCACTTGGCGTGGAGACCCCCTCCTCCCCCAAAACACACAAAAAGATGAACTCTGTCTCGACGTCGTTCGATGCTTTGATGTTGTAGGTGGAAATATGTTGAACGGGAGTACGGTTTAAAAGCTTTAACCTGCCACTTAAAGCAAGATAATCGCTTTAAAGTGGCGGAACAGCCTGCTTATTGTGGAAAAAAAACGCGTTTCCAATTCTCAGATACGGGAAGGCGAATTTTACACGTGAAATAAGACGGGGAATCGAAATGACGTGGTGGTGATGGTGGTGGATGGTGGTGGTGGACTACTCTACGGCGAGGCGCGGCGGGATCCCGTCGAGGGGGCCGCGTGGAGCGCGAGATGAAGATTCTGGGCGACGTCCGGGATGTAACCCCGGCGGTCGCAGGGAAAATGAAAAAAGAAAAAAAACGACGACGGGCGTTGATGAGGTGGTTATTCTGTATGCTTGGTGAAGCCTATACACAAGAGCAGGCAAACATCCACGGAATGCATGAACTTAGATGCGGTTCCCATTTTGCAAACAACAACAACATTCAGAATCACCGTTTTTGGGTTTTTTTTTGCTTGCTGCGCCGTTGCCCAAATGTGGGAATTTGAGCCACGCACGCACAGCACCACCACACAGCACCACCACACACACACAGCACCTCCACACAGCACCACCACCACACAGCACCTCCACCACACAGCACCTCCACACACAGCCACCTCCACACAGCACCTCCACACAGCACCACCACACAGCACCTCCACACAGCACCTCCACACAGCACCACCACACAGCACCTCCACACAGCACCACCACACAGCACCACCACACAGCACCTCCACACAGCACCTCCACACAGCACCACCACACAGCACCACCACACAGCACCTCCACACACAGCACCTCCACACAGCACCACCACACAGCACCTCCACACAGCACCTCCACCACACAGCACCACCACACAGCACCTCCACACAGCACCACCACACAGCACCACCACACAGCACCTCCACACACAGCACCTCCACACAGCACCACCACACAGCACCTCCACCACACAGCACCTCCACACAGCACCACCACACAGCACCACCACACAGCACCACCACACAGCACCACCACACAGCACCACCACACAGCACCACCACACAGCACCTCCACACAGCACCACCACACAGCACCACCACACAGCACCTCCACACAGCACCACCACACACAGCACCTCCACACAGCACCTCCACACAGCACCACCACACAGCACCACCACACAGCACCACCACACAGCACCACCACACAGCACCTCCACACAGCACCTCCACACAGCACCACCACCACACAGCACCACCACACAGCACCACCACACAGCACCACCACCACACACAGCACCACCACACACAGCACCACCACACACAGCACCACCACCACACAGCACCACCACCACACACAGCACCTCCACACAGCACCACCACCACACAGCACCATCACACAGCACCACTCACCACACACAGCACCACCACACAGCACCACCACACACAGCACCACCACACAGCACCTCCACACAGCACCTCCACACAGCACCTCCACACAGCACCACCACCACACAGCACCACCACACAGCACCACCACACAGCACCACCACACAGCGCCTCCACACAGCACCACCACCACACAGCACCACCACACAGCACCACCACACAGCACCACCACACAGCACCTCCACACAGCACCACCACACAGCACCACCACACAGCACCACCACCACACAGCACCACCACACAGCACCACCACACAGCACCACCACACAGCACCACCACCCCACACAGCACCACTCACCCCACACAGCACCACTCACCTCCACACAGCACCACTCACCTACACACAGCACCTCCACACAGCACCTCCACACAGCACCACCACACAGCACCTCCACACACACACAGCACCACCACACAGCACCACCACACAGCACCTCCACACAGCACCACCACACAGCACCACCACACAGCACCACCACACAGCACCACCACCCCACACAGCACCACCACCCCACACAGCACCACTCACCTCCACACAGCACCACTCACCTACACACAGCACCTCCACACAGCACCTCCACACAGCACCACCACACAGCACCTCCACACAGCACCTCCACACAGCACCACTCACCGTCACACAGCACCACTCACACACACACAGCACCACCACACAGCACCACCACCACACAGCACCACCACACAGCACCACCACCACACAGCACCACCACACAGCACCACCACCACACACAGCACCACCACACAGCACCACCACACAGCACCTCCACCCCACACACCACCCCACAGCACCACCACCACACAGCACCACCACACAGCACCACCACCACACAGCACCACCACCACACACAGCACCACCACACACACACAGCACCACCACACAGCACCACCACCACACAGCACCACCACACAACACCACCACCACACAGCACCACCACACAGCACCACCACCACACAACACCACCACCACACACAGCACCTCCACACAGCACCTCTACACAGCACCTCCACACAGCACCTCCACACAGCACCTCCACACAGCACCACACACAGCACCACCACACAGCACCACACACAGCGCCACCACACCACCCAGTGAGCACCCACCGCTTTACTAAACAGCCGATTGGGAACTCCCCACGTTATCTTTGCGCAATTAAGATCCTAAATTGACAACAACAATAATATAAAGTAACAAAAACACCCAGAAGAACCGAAACGCACACGAACAACACGCACGCACGCACGTACACACACACACACCGGGCAGAAATTGAGTTGCTTTACCGCACGGGTAAGTTCATGCATTCGCAATGTTTGTCAGCCCTGTCTATAATCCAAAGGAAATAAATTATACACAGTCAACCAAAGATACGAGCCAGTTGAATGCACGGTACTTGTGATGATATTTTCCCCCAAAGACTCACATTTTAATCATACTTTCTTTTGTTCATCCTTTAGCATATATACCTTCGAATGATATACACTTGTCGATTAGTGTACGTGTATATATATACTTAGCACACGAAACACGTGGTAGTAACGTGTCAGGTCGCGACAATTCGATGTCCACAATTTGGCGTCCAAAGGACAAAAAGAAAATTTAAAATCCAAATTTTACAACCGGTTCGGGGGCAATCGCCAAAAAAAATTTTTTTTTTGCATTTTCACTCTCGCCTACCGATTCCCGTGGCCCCTTCCGCCCCCCGTCGTGAGCGAGCGACACGTGTCAACTCGAGCCGACTCGAGTCGACACGAAGTCAACTCGAGCCGACTCGAGTCGACACGAAGTCAACTCGAGCCGACTCGAGTCGACACGAAGTCAACTCGAGCCGACTCGAGTCGACACGAAGTCAACTCGAGCCGACTCGAGTCGACACGAAGTCAACTCGAGCCGACTCGAGTCGACACGAAGTCAACTCGAGCCGACTCGAGTCGACACAAAGTCAACTCGAGCCGACTCGAGCCGACACGAAGTCAACTCGAGCCGACTCGAGTCGACACGAAGTCAACTCAGCTGACCGGCGCTGGTCAGCGGCGCGTTCGCTGCCACGCGGGAGGGGTGGGGGGGGCGGCGGATCTCTCCCCGGACAATTCCGACCTCCAAATTTTTAATCAACGACAACGACAACAAGGAACAAACAAACGAAAAACAAAACTCCACTCGGACAAAGCGACCGCAAATCGTTCAATTAGTCACGGTCTGATTATTAGGTCATCATCATCGTCGTCGTCATCGTCATCCACATCGTCATCCACATCGTCTGGTGTTCCTTTCTTAGTTACCCCCACCCCCTAAACCCGTCGCCCCCTGCTTGGGAAAGCGATGTGGACAGAACAAAAACAACCTCTTCCTCGAATCCTTTCACCGAAGAGGAGGAGGATGAGGAGGAGGAGGAGGATGAGGAGGTGGCGGCCGAAGTTTACGATCGCTGCCTCTCCCTGTCGATGTGGACGTTTGTCGTTGTTGTCGTTTGTGTTTCTCGATTCGTTCATTCTTTCACCTGTAACCAAAATTCCACCCTATCCCCCCCCCCCCCCCCCCGTTATTCTGTTGTATATTGCATCGCAACCTTATATATATAGCTTCTTCCGAGCTCTTAAACCAAGCGCAACGACCTATTTATATAGTCTGAACCAAAGACGCTACCTCAATTGTTTTTTTTTCATTCGTGATTCTAATCACACTAATACCAAAGAAAACCAAAGACTTCGTCTTCGCCATGCCTGTGTGTCGGCTCAGCTTTGAAGTCGTTCGATTGCATTATGACTCCCCAGGTATTACGACCCTTTTACTGCTACTACTACGACGACTACTTACGACCTACGACGACTACTGCTGGAGTGTCGCTTTATCGTTTCGAAATGTTTTCTTTTCGTCGGCGTGTCCTTTCACGCGACGTCACACACACACACACAAATTAAAAAAAAAACATTACCTAGGGGATCGCTCTCTCAATACGTTGCTGTAGGCAAGGGCGCAGTAGCTGTGCAGGAAGTGCTCTAAGCCAGCTGATGAACGGACGAGTGCCTTGTATGAACCAAAGTAAATAACCGCTGACAACCTCCTCAAGAAGAAGAAGAAGACGCAATGACGGCACGCGCGCGTGTGTGTTTGTGTTTTCCACGACGACATTGGCGTATACCTCAGCCGCTCGGACTGGACACAACAAACCCCCCCCCCCCACCCCCCTCTTCTTTCTCTCCCGTTTGACGTTTCGGCAGGTCGCACAGCAGCATTCATTTGGGGGGGGGTAGGGGGGGGGAGGTCCCCCCCCCAACACCAACACCCCCACCCCCGCTGTGTCACGACACAAGAAGAGTTAAAAGAGAAAAAAAAATATTAAGCGTAATTAAACAAATGCTACGAATAATGATTATGATGATGATATTAAAAAAACACACGAAAAAAAATACCAAAAAAAAATAATCACACCTTGGGGGTTTTTTTGTTCCTTTCACAATTTTCCAAGACGTACGTTTTAAACAAAATACAAAAAAAACTTTTACAAATAAATACTGTTATGATATTAATAATAATAATGAAAGCTCATATACCAAAGGAATTAGCTGAGAAGGAGAAGAAGAAATGAAAAAAAAATCGCTAAATCTTTCACTTCCTACGGATACACCAAAAAAGGTCCCCGTGACGATGATGATGATGCTGATGACAGCGCTGACTTGCGAGGTGGACGCTCTCCAAATCTCAGCTCCACACAGGCCGGGCGAAAATTCTTTTTACCGCGAGATATCGGAAATACCTCATAGATAGATGTCTAGTGTGTGACGTTCTCTTAGAGTTGTACTGTGTGCTACGACGTATTAACTAGTTTGGTAATTGTTAGTGTTGCCCAATGCTTTATAAATACATTGCTCACCTAGAGAGAGACGAGAGAGAGAGACACACACACGCGCACGCGGACAATGGTGCAGTGGGAGGTTTGACGGTGTCGCTCCGATGGTTGCTCATGTGTCAAAGAGAGCTTCGTCGAGTGGTCAGGGGGGCTTTGTCTCTCTCTCTTTTTTGAGTGGCGGTGGCCCACGAAGTTGACTTTTGATGCTTTTTTTTCGCTGTGTGACATGTATCGAGTTGGTTGTAATTTGTCTTAATTTATAGTCGGTGTTAATTTAAGTAAACTTTAAAAAAAAATACTCCCCGTACCAAAGAAAGCAGAATTGCAAAAATATTGTCGTTCCTAGAACATAGAATAATAATAATATATGTGATATTTAATTTAAAAGAATTTTGTGAACGCACACACACACACGCGCACGCACTCACGTATGAACACAACCGATGATTGTTTTGTAGATTTCCGTGTACAGTGTGATTCCTTTAAGACGTTAGACGTTCTCTCTTATTTTTTATTTTGTATATTTTTTAGTCTGGTGTATTTAAAAGAAACA